TGGGAAGGTGGTGATGGCTCGACCTGGGAAGCTGATGGTCTGACCTTCATCTAAGATAAAGTTGACACTCCCTCCTGTTCCCTGGGAGGCAGCTGAAGCCCAGTACCCTGCAAAATATCAGCTGTATTCCTTGGACCTAGCTCTATCTTCCTCTCCAGGCCATAGACAAATTGGCTAAAATATAATTTCTTCTTTGTTTGCCTTCAGATAATTATTAACAAACACTTTCTGTGAGAAATTTTCACAGGAGGCAGGGTACATGCCAAGTACTGTATAAAGCCAGCCTCCAATAAAGATCTGGACCTTGGAATTTCCCCTACTTGAGTCCCTACTCCCAACTTTGTCTTTTATCTCTACTCTATCTTTCTCAATTGCGACTGTACTCCTCTTGTCCCCGGTCGTTTTGTGAGCTGGCTCTCACACTCTTGGAAAGATCGACACTCGGCCTCAACTCTTCTATTCTTTGTAATCGCCATTTATAGCATGAGATCAGTCACACTGTTTTAAGTTTTAATAATTATCCAGTGTGTGTCTCATAAGTGATTCAATGATTTTGCTTTGATCATAGTTCTAATCCTGCATCTTGGATTTGGACCATATTCAGCATTTATATCATCAACTCTTGTGGTCTTTTCTGAGTACTGTAATTTCCTTGATCTTCTACTGAGATTCGGTTATTGAGAGGAGTGCTGATCGTGGACAGGTAGATATAGGTTGGGTTGGAGTTATAGTTTGGTCAATGAAGAAGTCAGCCACATCATCATCCATCACCAGAGGCAAGGTGATCAACATCGTGAAGAAACATCTCCTCGCATCTTTTCTGATCTTTATGGGATCACCATTGTTTCCCCACAGTGTGCTAACAGTGTCGCACTCCCAGCCTGCCAGGCACTACTGTCTTCTGAGTCACCATAATACAAGTAGATGGGCCTCAGGCAACCACACGGGTCTGCGCTTGTGTATGTCCTATCCATCCCATAAGGATGGTCCTTGCTTGCCCCTCAAAGTGTCTGTTAGCATTAAGAATCACTTAATATAAGTATATATTACGATGAAAGAAGCTCCTAGATTTATTGCATTTCAATTCCACCTGTTGTTGTCTTGGTGGGGTCAGCCAAATGATTTCACAGACCTTGTATGGACCATAGGTCAGATGTTCCCCACCTCTGCGTTACAGTCATCAACCATTTGAGATTAAAAGGGCAGCATTTGCCCAGAGACAAATTTCAGAAGGCAAGAGAGTTATCAAAGAAGAAATGGAAACAGGAAACAGAGAGGAAATGGGAGAAGTGATGTTACATTGTGGGGATTGCAATCAATGACCATGAAACAATGTCTGGATTATTGAATGGAAAGCTGATCTGCTCTGAAAGCCTTCACCCAATTTATAATAAAAAGTTTAAAAATGAATAATACATAAACCAGTTTCTGGCACAAAATTGAAAAAGAAATGAATCGGGCTGTTATGTGACATAAAGGAGTCCTACTGGTGCAGTGGCTGAGTAACCAAAAGGTTAGCAGTGTGAGCCCATCAACTGCTCTGGGGGGAGCCTGTGGCAATCATTCCTGTAAAGATCACAGCCTTTGGAGCACTGTGGAGCTGTTCAACCCTGTCATAGAGGTTTGCTATGAACAGGTATCAACTCAATGGCAAAAGGGATTAAAATTTCCCCCCCCTATGATGTAGTTATGTTCCAGGCCAATTACAGAGATCTTATGAATGTTACTTAAAAAATTAATAAATAAATAAATCAGTATGCAGGTACAGATATTTTAGGGAAGTTGTTTACAAAGTATTTCACATATTTCTCATAGTCCCTTTCTCTATTTCTAAGGTTAGAACTATTTTTTAATGACTCATAGTTCCTACGAAGTGACTTTTGTGAGGGGTCTTCAACAAGTTTGTTGAAAAACAGAATGAAAAGAAAATGGCATTTTCCTATGAGCTTTTTGCTTACTCTTTGTTTAAATACATAGGAATTGAAAAGCACCTAAAAGAGGAACGTACAGTTTAAAGGACATTATAGAGGCATACATACAGAGATTTGAGGGCATCACCCAAAGCATACATAACACATCCCCCAGAATGCCACCCTTGAGTCATATGGCTTTCAATCATGACTAGTTGCCCCTGCACTTGGCATCTAGTTCTCATCTGTAATCTCCACCATTATTTGGGGCAATTCCTTCTCCTGTTTCTTATATTCCATGTCTTCCTTTTCTTTAACTTGTTTTCTTATTTTAGTGGAACATTACCTCCAATAGATCCCTTAGAAAGGGTAACTGGGAAGTAATTCTTCTACTCTTCCTTCCTGCCTGCCTGCCTGCCAACCAGCCCTCCCTCTCTCTCCATGCTTACTTCCTCCTTCTCTTCCTTCCCCTTAATCTTTGCAAGTCTGTATATAAATCAACAATTGTTTGATAATTTGACCAGGTACAGAGCTCTATAGTCTAAGAAGTTTTCCTTTACAAGCTTGAAAGCATGGCTATACTGTCTTTGAGCTTGCTCTGTTGCTCCTGAGGAATGCAAAGCCATTTGATTCTTGTTTCTTTCTTCTCTTCTCTTCTTCCATCTGGAAGTCTGAACATCTCTTCCTCAACTTAAATATTTTAAATCTTACAAGAATCTCCTTTAATGTAGAACCATGAAAACCTACCAGGATGAACTCCTTCAATCTGGAAATTAGTGTCCTTCAGTTCTGGACAGTTTCTTTTGTTGGTTTCTGGCCCTATGTTCTTCCCTCCATAGGATGCCCAACTTCATAGACTGCCTTTCAGTGTTTTCCTTCTATTTCATACATTCTTGCCTTTTTCTTTTACTTTTTTGGTAATTTCCTTAAATTTATCTTTCAACTCTTATTAAGCTTTTATTATCACGCTTTTAACTTCTAAAAGATCTTCTTTGTTCTCTGAATGTTCCCCTTATTGAAAAAAATAACAAATTGTTCATGTCTTAAGGCTGAAATAGTTTTTTCTTTTCTCTCTGTGGACTGAGAAGTGGAAAATTACAGAAACCACTACTTTAAAAAAACCCAAAAACAAACAAACCACAATTGGCAAAACAGATCAACTTTCAGCAGCAGTGTAGCTTAGACCCATGTGCTCAGAAAAGATAAAACCGCAGATGGTTGAAAACACATCCCTTAGCCTATCGGCAAGCAATCAGATACCAGTTTACTTGCAAATTCAGAAGAATTTGCCGGAACTACTCTCTTTCCTTCCTTCCCCTCCCCTACCATTGGTAATTCCACTCTAAAACATGTTTTTTTTGGAGGGGTTTCTTCTATTTTTTTTACTATCTCTTCTCCAACAGAACTTTAGAAAATGTACGTGCTCAACTTACTCAGCAAGTTCTTCTGGGTAGCGCCTCCCTTACCTGCTACATTTCTCTTAAACTAAGCATGAGCTTGTTGATTATCTCTGTTATTTTTTTTGTTTTAAGTGTGTCAGACTCACTTGCTTTTTATTTTAACAAATCCTTTATTGGGGGCTCTTACAGCTCTTATAACAATCCATATATCAATTGTATAAAGCACATTTGTATATATGTTGTTGCTGTCATCATTTCCAAAACATTTTCTTTCTACTTGAGCCCTTGGTATCAGTGCCTCTTTTTACCCCTTCCTCCCCCACCATTCCACCCTCATGAACCCTTGATAATTTATTCATTATTATTATTTTCATATTTTTCACCATCCACTATCTCTCTTCACCCACGTTTCTGCTGTTCATCCCCCTGGTGGGGGTGGGAGGGTTGTACATCAATCATTATGATCGGTTCACCCTTTCTCCCCCTTCTCCAACCACCTCATGGTATCACTACTCTCACTATTGGTCCTCACTACTCTCACTATTGGTATCACTACTCTCACTATCTGTCCTGGATTCTGTGTGTTGAGAGCTCTTATTTGTACTAGTGTACATGCTCTGGTCTAGCCAGATTTGTAATGTAGAACTGGGGTCATGATAGTGGGGGAGAGGAAGCACTGAAAAACTAGACAAATATTATGTGTTCTGTTGGTGCTATACTGCACCCTGGCTGGCTCATCCCTTCCTTGTGACCCTTCTGTGAGGGGATGTCCAATTGTCTACAGATGGGCTTTGGGTCTCCATTCCGCCCCCTCATTTGCATAAAAATGGTTGTTTGTTTGGGGTTTTCTGATGCCTCATACCTGATCCTGAGGACACCTCTTGATCACACAGGCTGGTGTGCTTCTTCCATGTGGGCTTTGTTGCTTCCCTGCTAGATGGCCACTTGTTTAACAGCAAGCCTTTAAGACCCCAGACACTATATCTTGTAATAGCTGGGCATCATCAGCTTTCTTCACTACATTAGCTTATAGATCCATTTTGTCTTCAACAATCGTGTCAGGAAGGTGAGCGTCACAGAATGCCAGATTATTAGAACAAAGTGTTCTTGCATGAGGGAGGATGTGAATAGAGGCCCAATGTCCTCCGTCATGGCAGCCGTCTTTGATTAAACACAATTTACACAAAGTTTTATTTTACCTACCTACACATTCTGTTTTCTTGAAGTTACTTTTTGTGTTTGCATGTCAAACACTTTCGTTAGAGTTATGGTACTCTATCAGTGATACAATGAAAGCAATGGGATAAGAAGGCAATTTCAAAGTCTGTGTGTCTGGACAGGGCCTATATATTTTGAGTTGGCAGTAACCCACTGCTGTGGAGTTGACTCTGATTCATAACAATTCTATAGGTAGGTTTTCAAGAGTATGATTTTTTTTTTTTAAGGAATAAGAAGCTTTATTTTTTTTAAATTCAAATAGGCTTCAAAAGAAAACTCCTAAGCAGCACTGTCACCAAATGACTGAGTCCCTGCTCTTAGGGAGCAAGATGGCCATCCTATTGCACTCGGGGCTTTTGCCTGATGGTGACAATGTAAATCCAGTGTCACAAAATGACCAGTTCTTCAGACTTGATTCAGAATAAGTAGACCATGAAGCAGACGTCAACCGGTAAGATCTGTTTGTGCGCTGTTACATCCAATGTCCTCTCTCTCTGCAACCCCTCCCCCCGCTTCCTCCTCGGAAGCCTCCTCCTCCTCCTCTTCTGCCTCTAGAACTACGGCCTCTAGCACCTCCTCTTCCTCCTCCTACACTTCCTCCTCCTGGGCCTCCCAGGGCACCGCCTCTTGGAAGGTCTTTTCTCACCTGGAGGTCGAGGTGAAAACCTTTTTAGTGGCAGCAGTTTATATGGGTCAATATAAAACAGTTTATATGGGTCAATATAAAACTTCTATAAGCCTTCATGCTTTCTGACATTTAACTGAAAAATAAAAATCTCTAAGTTGTCCGAATATTGCATCTACTTTGCCAATTTGTTCTGTTTTCTAAATACATGGGAGCATTGAAGTAAGGCACCTGGTTTTCATCGGGGACACATGTGCACAAGATGTTCTCTTCACAGGAATGCACGAAGTCTCCTAGCAAAACCACAGGTTCCGGAGGCCCTTGGCCTTGGAAGTTGACCATCCCCTTGACCCAGTCCGCCTGGGCGGCCGCCGCCGCCACAACCTCCATCTCACAGGCGGTTGCTGCTGCCCCACTGTGAAGCTTCACCTCCACCACCTTGATCAGAGCCCCATGACCTCTGCCTCCAGCAGCCGAGCTCGCACACCCACTCGCGGGCACTGTCCCGACGGGGCCTCCTCGGCCACCAGCCCAGAGCTGACTTGGAGGAAGGTCGTTGTAGGGATAATCCGACAAGAAACTGAAGTCACGGGTTTGCCACAAGGAGCCGCGAGACTAGGGACAATATCACCTTTCTAAAACACCTGAGAGTCACTGTCAGTCAGAATAGAACACTACCGAACTTCAGACACTCCAGGCTGTAATGTTTACCAGAGTCGATTCCCACTATGATGCCGGCCGAGCAGCTGGTGGGTTTGAACTGCCATCCTTCTGGCACATCCCCGAAGTGCCAGAGAGAAAGGACATGTTCCCAGTGTCTCTCCTTTAAAAGGCCACACCCCCAGGAGGGTACCATCAGGCAAATTGGATCCCAATTTGGATCAAGTTGACATGAAATCTATCAGCCAAGTGCTTAACCACTGTTCTACCATCCCTCCTGGGTTTACAGTAAGCCCATGTTTGTTCCCCTAGCATCAGTGTCTCTATTTCTTTTCTCTCGTGCTGCTCTACGTCCCCAGAGTCTTCGAATCTGCTACCTCAAGGGTAAAGTTCTGAGTTTCATGGGTTTAGGGACTGACTGAGGAATGAATGCTGTTGATCAGGTGTGGAACCTTAGCAGCTATCAGCATATGCTTTTTTTAAGGTATCTTGGTTTGTCTAGAGAAATAAAACACATGACACTGACATATGTAGAGAAGGAACTTTACATCAAGAAGTGATTTTACATCCAGGAGGCAGATCGCCCCAGTCCAACTCAAGTCCCTTGGTCTGAGTTAGCCAGGACTCTCTTCAGACTCATGTAGCTGCAGGCTGATGATGCAGAAAGGTGGAGCAGGCAGCAGGGAGATCACAGGCCGGTGAGGGCACAATCTGGTGAATCCAAAGTTCATGGGAACATGGCAGGAGAATTGGCAAACAATTCTTCAGGTTGGCAGCCCACCTGGGGCTGCCTATGCTGGACTGTGGGCAGATACTGAATCCCAGTGAAGTTCCCCTGAGGAGGAAGGCGAAGGTCCCAGGGTCTCTCCTCTGAAAGGCTACACCCCTAGGAAGGCATCATCAGGCTGTGACCTAGTTGACAAGTTGGACGGCACCCATATGTGTTCACACAGGCTCAAGTTGACATAAAATCTAACGGCCACAGGATCCATGCTTTCAACTGTAGTTGCTGACCTCCGCTTCTTGGACTCTCAATTTTTCTCCACGTTGGCTTTGTAACTAACCTTCCTCAGTTTTTCCAAGTCAGTTAACAACCATCTGTTTGCTTTAATTTTTCCAAAATGTTGTTGTTGTTGCCCTCCTCATCTGGATGCTTTTATGTCATTAAAAAAAGCTCACTATTTTACTTTTAGTAAATTTGCGGAGGAAACAAAATTAGATCAGTTCTACCTACTATCTTAACCCAAAATGTATCTGATGCTTTTGTCATTACCCATACGACCCATAGGGTAGAATCATTACAGTTATAGTAGTGAAGAAAAGAGGCTTTATTTGGTTTGTGCAGAGGTGTCAGCGCAATGTTTATTCAAGTCTGAAGAAGTTTACAGTCAGCAGTCTATGTTGTCCTTGTTGTTTGGTGCCATTGAGTTGGTTGGCTCACAGTGAGACTACGTACAACAGAACAAACACTGCTCGGAGAAAACAAGGGGGCTGATGGTTCTGGTGGGAAAGGGGAGAGGGGAAGGTGGTGGAAAAGGGAGAAGGGAGCCAACAAACCCAGGGACAAGGGAACAACAAGAGATCTAAAATCAATGGCGAGGAGGGTGTAGAATGCTGCTTGGGGTTTGATCAAGTGCAATGTAGCCGAGAGGAATTATTGATAGTTGAATGAATGTTGAACGTGATAGTGGGACAGGAGGAAAGTAAAAGGAAATAGAGTAAAGAACTGCAAGACAAAAGCCATTTACAGAGATCTAAATATAGGCACGTATATATGTAAATATATTTATATATAATGATAGGGACATATATTTATATATTATATGTTTATATATTATATACATCTACTTACATCTATTTATATCTTAAGCATCAAAGTAGCAGACGGACATTGGCCCTCTACTCAAGACCTCCCTCAACGCAAGACCACTTTGTTCTAGTAACCTAGCATGATCTAGTCACCTGGCATTCTGTGATGCTCACCTTCCCGACATGATTGCTGAAGACAAAATGGGTGTATAAACTAATGTGGTGAAGAAAGCTGATGGTGCCCGACTCTTACAAGATATAGTGTCTGGGGTCTTAAAGGCTGTGTTGGAGGCCATTAAAACCCAGCCTTGAAATAGCTGAGCTATCGTGACCCAGGTGTCAGTGTCTGCTGTTTGCTTCTGTGGTTTGACATTTAGACTAAGAAAAAGAACAAGGACGTATGCGAGTTCTGAGAAATCAGGATGTTTAATTTTTCTCAAAGAATGCTTGACTTGGCAGAATATAGAGTTGCTGATGTATGTCAAAATATGCTAATTATAACCCTGGGTTGTATCTGCATGTATAAAGGGAAGATGTAGAATAAACTTGGGGCTTCAGTATTCACTGTTGCCCTCCCAATACTTTTGTTTCTCTTCTTTTTTCCTTAATCCTCACTCCCCCTTTCAGGACTATTCTGAACCTTTGGCAGGTTCCGGCAGGCTTGATGTTAAGCCACATGGAAGAAGCACACCAGTCTGTGTGATCATGAATTGTTGACAGGTTCGGGTATCAGAAGGCCGAAAACAATCATATAGATGTGAACAAGGGGAGTCTGAGTGGATACCTAAAACCCATCTGTAGATAATTGTGACCCTCACAGAAGGGTCACAAGGAAGGGACTAGCCATATAGCACTGATGAAACACACACCAGTCCTCTAGTTTGCTTTTTTAAAATTGTTTTATTAGGGGCTCATACAACTCTTATCACAATCCATACATACATCAATTGTGTAAAGCACATTTGTACATTCATTGCCCTCATCATTCTCAAGACATTTGCTTTCCACCTAGGCCCCTGGCATCAGCTCCTCCTTTTTTTCCCTCCCTCCCTGAGTCCGCTAGATTTTTAATGCTTTCCCCCTGCTATTATCATGACCCCAATTCTGCCTTACAAATCCAGCTAGACCAGAGCATATACACGGGTACAGATAAGAGCTCTCAACACCCAAAATCCAGGACAGATAAACCCCTCAGGAACAATAATGGGAGTAACGATACCAGGAGGGTAGAGGGAAGGTGGATGAAGAGGGAGAGAGGAAGAACTGATTGCAATGATCAACATATAACCTCCCCACCCCCACCCCCCTCACGGAAATGAACAACAGGAACTTGGGTGAAGGGAGACAAAGGATAGTGTAAGATATGGAAATAATAATAATTTATAATTTATGAAGATTCATGAGGGAGGGTGGAGGGAGGGGAAAAAGAGGAACTGATGCTAAGGGCTCAAGTAGAAAAAATATTTTGAAAATGATGATGGCAACATATGCACATGTGTTTGATGCAATTGATGTGTGGATTGTTGTAAGAGCCCCCAGTAAGGTGATTTATAAACATTAAATAAAATTAAAAAACAAGACACTGCCCAGTCCTGCACCATCCTGACTATTGTTGTCATTGGATCTGTTGCTGTAGCTGCTGTATCATTTTATCAAGGGTCTTCTTATTCCTACCCTGCCACTTTACCGTGCGTGATGTCCTTTTTTAGGTCCAAGATATGTGAGACAAAGTCTCACCACCCTTGTTTCTAAGGAACATTCTGGCTGTACTCCCACGACAGTTTTCTTTGTTCCTTTTGCAATCCATAGTACTTTCAGTCTTCCTTGCCAGTATGAAAATTCAAATGCTTTGATTTTTCTCCAATCTTCCTTATTCAATGTTTAACTTTCACTTGCATATGAGGCAATCAAAAATACTATGGCTTGGGTCAGGTGAACCTTAGTCCTCAAATCCTCTTGTTTTCAACATTTTGTTGTTGTTGTTGTTTTCAACATTTTAAAGAGGTTTTGTATAGCTGATTTACCCATACAATGTGTCTTTTGATCTCTTGACTATTGCTTTATGCCATGAGCATTGATTACAGATACAAGCAAGCCAAAATCCTTGACAACTGTATGCTTTTCTGTTTCTCATGATGTTATCTATTGGTCCAGTTGTGAGGATTTTTATTTTCTTCGCATTAAATGTCTTCCATACTGAAAGTTAAATCCTTGATCCTCGTCAGTAAGTGCTTTAAGTCCTCCTTACTTTCAGCAAGCAAGGCCGTGTCACCTCTACATATCAAAGGTTAATAAGCCTCCCTCCAATCCTGGTACCACATTCTTCTTCATATAACCCAGCTTCTCTGATTATTTGCTCGGCATACATATTGCATAAGTATGGTGTAAAGATACAACCCTGATGTGTTACAGCATGAGAAACAAAGAGCCTCAGTATGTGGATCAGAAGAGACAGAATGCAGGCAGACAGTGTCAGCGATTGCTTAAGTTACTCTGACCCTGAGTGAAGTTACTCTGACCCTGAGTGATCGAGCCAGGGGTTTTTATACTCATAGACAATCAAGGGGGCTTGCATCAGTGGTGTTTCTAATTATTTAAACAAAGATTTGAGCAGAAACTTCTTGAAAAACAGGATCAGGGGTAATCCTGTTTTGCATCTGGAACACTGTGGTTTCCTGTTGTTCATTTTACATTGAGACACACACTGGGAAAAAAAAAACCACCCCCAAAAACAACTGATGGCTTCCTCTTCATGAGGTATCTGGGCAAGTGGGGGTGAGCTCTGGGCTTCAGAGCAGTATCTGCAGGGAGGTTACAAAAATCGGTACACAGCTATAAAAAAATGGGTGTACATCAGTTCGCATGTATTGACTATCCCCGGTTGTTGTTAATATGCTAATTTCAATAGGCCTCTA